GCTTTACTAGCTGCCGCATCGCATTGCAGGCTTATGTTCATCTTGTGGTCAATGATGACCCCCAAGTCTCTTTCTTCCATAGTGCTAGCCAACATAGCACTGCCGAGCCTATAAGGATGCTGCGGGTTTTTCTTCCCAAGGTGGAGAACCTTGCATTTATTGGCGTTGAACACCATCAGATTCTCGTCCGCCCACTTGCTGAGCCTGTCCAGGTCAGCCTGGATCACCTGCCTGTGCTCTGGTGTGGATGCTTTGCCCCAAAGTTTGGTGTCATCGGCGAATTTGGCCAGTCCGCTTCTGACTCCAGTGTCCACATCATTAATGAAGATGTTGAACAGTATGGGTCCAAGGACAGAGCCTTGGGGGACCCCACTGGTCACAGGACACCATAATGAGTGACTTCCATCAATTACTACCCTCTGGGTCTGACCACGGAGCCAATTTTCCAGCCAGTGGATCGTGGAGGACCCAAGGCGACAATTGGCCAGTTTCTCCAAGAGGCGATCATGGGACACCAGATCGAAGGCTTTTTGAAGTCAAGATATATGACATCAATCTCTTCTCCCTTGTCCAGGTGATAGGTCACCTGGTCGTAGAAGGAAATGAGATTGGTCAAGCAAGACCTACCCGCAACAAACCCGTGCTGGCTATCCCTTAAGATGTTGGCGTCGGCCAGTCCATTAAGGATGGCCTCTTTGATAAACTGCTTTTTGATTCAACTGCTTGTAAGCAAGGAACCTAAATTTTCTGCCTCAGATTCCCTATCAAAAATGTTATAAGGGTTACCATCTGTACTATATAAAGTACTGATAAACGTGTCACCCATTTTAAGATCTTTTTCTCTTCCTTTTCAGATTTAGAGTTCCTCCTACTGGAAGAGCACTACGTCAAAAAAACAAAAAAACAAAAAAAACCCAACAAAAAACAAAATAAGTATTCAATACTGCTGAACACAAGTATGAAAAAAGATGAAAGAAACACCAAATTCTTTTTTTTATCTAAAATTAAAAATTAAAAGCTCTGAATACAAACCTTTCAAATACTCTTTTATTTTCTCCTTCAGTTGCACGGATTTATTTTTACTTCTTTCACAAATCACCTGTTGAAAGAAATATTACTACTAGTTAGTGAAGTATAAAAATCAGTCTCTCTTATAACCTTTTTGGTAATATTCCCGTATGAGAAAGAAATCTTCTCAAACTCTTAACATGGAGCAAATCTAAGAAAGTTAGGATAGATCATTAAAATGTACCCAACAATACAAAAATACAACTAGGAGAGAGGAAATTCTAATGAGCCACAAACTAGAATCTTCCCATTGATGCTATCTGTATTATACATTTATGTGTGCTAAGAGATTAATGCACACTAATTCATAATAAAAATGCATCTAAAAAAGGTTCCAAGTTTGCCAGGGAATCTGTCTGAAACTCCAAATTAAAAAGTTTATTTAAGTAGGACTGAAAACAGTCACAGATACTCTCCCAAAGTACAACAAAAAATATAACTTACTTCTGCTGGTGTTTGATCATACTTGTTTCTTGGACTCTTTGCAATATCTGGGTGTGAAGTAAGCACGTTTACCACATCCAGATTCCCAAATTTGCAAGCAAAATGCAATGGTGTATCAAATCCCTGAAAAAGGAGACAGAAAAGTATTATTATACCTGTGCCTTATTTGAAAGTTCCCAGCTTCTCATTTACCCTTTAACACACGTGTATTTGGAAAACACAATGTGATCAAACCCATACGCTTTTCTTCCACCTTCAAAATAGGCTGTCATGATTAATCGACAAGGCTCTTTAATCATGATCAATCAACAAGGTCTTCCTAGGAAACGGATTTAATTTTTTTTTAAATCCTACACAACTTGTTCATTCTAGCTATTAGACATGAACTCACACAGACACTCATCTCTCTCTTTTATAAAAAAAAAATAAGTATTTTGGCAGACATTTATATCTCACCACTTTATCCGGGGTATTAAGATAAAGGTCAACAATATATCTGATGCGCTTCTGCAACATGACTTCATCATCATCTGGATACATAAGCAGCATAAATTCAGGATTTTCCAGAGTGTCTAACAGCAGTTGGCAGATACCAGGTTGATTCTCTTTGGCAGCAACATGCATGACATTATACCTACACCCTTCCTGAAAATAAAAATAGAGATTATAATCATTAGAAATCTAAATGGCTTGCTTCCCATTATAAATTTCAGAGGTTTGACCACAAAAATTACATAAGCCAAAACCAGTCTCATTTTTATTCCCTTTTAAATATGAAAAAGTAGCTTAAAAGCAGTAATGAAACAGTTTTAAAACTAAATATTGTAGTTTTCGTAATACCTCTAAAATGTCTGTTTCCTTATCTCTGATGGTACTCTGCCTTCAGCTCTACTAAGTATCCAGGTCAAATTTAAGTAATAAAGGGGCAAATATGCCTAAACAAGGTGCATTAAGTTATTGTCTAACATGTTGCAAGCTTTCATATTTCTATTTAACAACAGAAACATAATTTTAAACTGTTTGTTACCATAAACTCCAGGTATTTCTACAGTTTCATAAAATTAAGTCAGACAGTTTCTTAAATTGGCAGTGTTGACCTACAGGTACTGCACCTACATTCTGTATCAGTGGTTTTCAACCTTTTTAGACTCAAGGCACCCCTCAGAAAATGCCAAGTCTTAGTTTTGATTCTTTTACCAACTGCGGAAAAAATTAGAGCAATTCTTCTGTTGCAGAGAACTCAAAGTCTGTAACAGATCAGAATGTTTTTGTCATTATGGATTCCTATTTGAAATCTCTGTGTTTATTTTATGAATCATATGTAGGTGTTTACACACCTAACAAAGCTAATATGGGGTGCCAGTGTGCAGCACCCCACCACACCCTTGTGGAGAATCACTACATTTTGTCAGTTTTCTGAGGGAAGAAAGCAAGTGAGCTGTATTCCATCACATGCTACTAGAATTGCTTAACTAGTCATATTACTACTTAAAGAAGGCCGTAATTGCTTGGAGCTCCTTAATAATACATGACAGGAAAGTTAATCAGTACTGAATTACAGGAAGCTATGTAATTACATGAATTACATGTGACAAACTGCTGCTGGACTGACCCTGGTGCACCAAAGCTTCTCTTCACTGTTCTGTTGCACGTCTCAGGGAAGAGACTAGGAGGTAACTCCTTACCTCCAGCAAATCTCAGTCTTCATGACCCCTTCTTAGACCTTGCAGTTGCAGTAGAGGAAGGTTTGCCAGTTTATAGGGTGTTGACCCTTGGTTTGCAAAATATTTTATATCAGTGGTTTTCAACCTGTTTTCATTTGCGGACCCCTAAAAAATTCCAAATGCAGGTGCTGACCCCTTTGAATTGTAAGTGTAGATACTCACATACTTTTGAATGATCATAGTCAACTTTTGCAGACCCCTTAGATATAGCCTGTGGACCCCCAGGTCTACAGACCACAGGATGAAAACCACTGTTGCAGATCGATTTTCATAGGAACAAAATACCTGCAACTCTCAACCGCTGACAAGAAATCACCCTTACCACATACCATCAGTAAGGTATATAAAACAACAATAACACTTATTACATGAGACAGACAGATGATACAAGGCAAAAAAGCAACTATTGGGTGTTGAGGTCAAAATTACACAAATAAAAACAGAAAAACCCCCCTCATTCTCCTTTTCTAATCTAAAAATCACCGTCTTAAAGATGTCTTCAACTGGTTCCTTTAGTCAGCAGTCCTGCTAGCTGTAACCAGAATGTCCCAGCTTTCCCCAGCTAGAAGACTAGACAAACGCTCGCATGTCAGGGACTTCTAGACAAGATTTTTCCTCAAGAGGGATCTCTTAATCTCTCCATCCTTATTTTTCTATTCAATTGTCAGGGAGCTAGTGTATTATGCAGATGAGTTCCTTCCCCCAGATATGCATCTGTCTGACAGGTTAAGTGCTCCTCCTAATTCAAAACCATATTAAAGGAAGACATTGAAATTATTCTAAACTCTTTATTAAGTTTTCCCTTATCAAGTATTCAAGAGGATACTTGAATACTTGACCACAAAAATTCTCCACTTGAAGAGGAGACATCCCCCCAGGCACAAGACTTCCTTTCAACATGTGATCAGCCACTGTTTGAGGTTAGTGTCTCTATTCAGGTAAGGATCTCTCATGGTAGTATCTTTCATTGGAACAACTGTATAATTCGGACAACACTGGATGAGCTTTAAAGTGCAAGACATTCTTTGTCAGGTCTCTGATCACAGGAAGCCAGGCAAAGCATAGTCCATTCACATAAACACTGAAAGTCTCGTCACTTTCCAGGCTAATCCACGCGCATATGAATTCTACGATTGGTTTCCTCCTTTTCTCCTTGTTCAGTAGGTATTCATTTATACCACTGCCTCCCTGAGGTTGGGATAGTTACTGCCTGGAGATGAATATTCCTGTCACTTGATTTAGCAATCCACTCACTGCCTAGTTTAAGATACATTATAAAAATGCATTCATACTCATACCAAACACCTTGGTTCATACAAACTTAGAAATGATAAAATTAACTTATGTTAACACTAGCAGTAAAATGAGACCAAATACTACAGTAGTAAATCCAGGCTGTGCAAGTGGCTGTGTATCAGTAATGTACCCCAAAATTAATCCTGGATTTGGGTGCATCTGTGACACCCTCCCTTGAGAGTATATGCTCAAGTTTTGCACTCCTGCCCATTTGGAGCAGTTGTAAAACCAAAAACCAGGCGAGAAACAACAATTACTAATCCTGTTTCAGAAAATAAGACATCATGTTTTTTCTTTAAAACTGCCAATCTGAAGAAAAAGGGTACAAAAAAGGAATAACCATGGAGAAGCTGCACACTGTCATGTTACCTTTTCAATGACAGGAGATATTAGTCTAACAAGATGCATTTCTACAACATTTTCAGTGTTGGTATTACTGCATACTCGAACAGTTTTGCTCCTAGGCAACTGCTTTCTGTCCAAGTACATACAAATTTAAAAAAACAAACCAACAAACAAACCCTCAAAATTTAACTCTTACAGGCAAGGGCAAAAGAGTTAGGTTGTTTCTTCAAAGTAATACAAGCAGGTAAAACAGATTTCTGGTTTGATAAAGTAAAAACGTAGTGAATGGTGTACAGCTAGCTTTTTGATCTCAACAACGGAAGAACTATTAAATCTCTCTCTTGGAGAACTGGTGCAGAGCTTTGGACCTGGAAAAACTTTCATTGCTTCTGGACTTCCTTTTATTAACTGCCCACTGTTTTCATATACAGTTTATTTTAGGTAGCGTCCTGGTGTTCTCTCTGTTCATTTCACGGTATGGTTCTAATTCTATTACCTTGCTTCTTTCTTAGTGAAGATGCCCGTAGCCTAAGATATCTCTGTCATGCCCCAAGAGCACTATCAATTAAATGGATTATTTTGATGCGTGTCACACTTGCTTCTTCAACAAGAGGAATCCATCACTTGACCCTAGATCAACCAGATTACTAAATCAAAACCAGCCAGAATAGCAGAGTAGCACCAAAAATGAGAGGGCCTCAGTCTCTTTTGGTGATGCTGACATACCCACTTAACTGACTACTTACAGATCAGGCACAATACCAGCTCCAGATGGAGTAAGGCCCAAACCTGAAACCAAGGATCCTTGTACTACATTATGACACTTCCCTGTGTCATTTTAAGGCTGCAGCTTGTAAACTCTTCCTCTGTCTTGCTACTTGCTAGATTTAACAAACTATTAAAAGGCAGCAAGTGGTAATTTTATGCATGAGCAAACCTCATAGCCAACCTGGTCCTACTCTTTTTCAAGGCACATACCAATCATGCCTCTCTTGGAGAGAAAATATCCAAGAGCATTCACCATTTCTTGAAGCTCTGGATGCTTCTACACTTTGCAAGCAGGAGGAAGAACTGTTGCTGCAAGACCTAGCGCAGCACTTCAAGCAGGCTACCAAAGGAGAAACTTTCCAAAAGAAGCAAGTGTATGACAGCCAGGGTGTGAACACATGCATCACCTTTGAAGTATTTCAAAAGTGAGTCTGAAATATCCTGACTCACTTTCAGAAGCATCCTGAAAACAGCAGGAACACTTAAAAAAAGTCACCTGGAGAAAACAAGTATTATTTAGAAGCACTTCAGAATGAGGTGCTTCCTGTTATGTGTTCATGCTCTACAAAGTATTATAGGAAGGGGCTCAGTACTCCAGTATCCCACAATTCTCTGTGCTAGGTTGCCCGCAGAGACTACGTAAACATGGTACTTGTTAACAGAACAAGGTCTATTTCAAATTAAAGCAGAAGCAGCCAATTACAGCTAACTGCAAGTACTGGCTTCAGTTCCAAATACAGTGCAATTAAGTGAATGAGTTTCAGCATCAACTACCACAGGGCTAGAGACCGAAGATCTTGGTTTTGTCAATGGTATTTTTGAAGAATACTTTATTTTGAAGTTTGAGAAGGAAGAAGGGGGAATAAGAGGGTTATTCCAATTCTACTTTGATAAAGGATGGAGATTCTTTTTACCTGCACAACAGTTGGGTTGTCCCCAGATCCAATCAGATAGCGTGGATTACTCCAGATGAGTTCTGAAAAGGCAGCTACATCTCCTTTCTCAACAGCTTTCCGAAGTTTGGCAGTAAGGTCCTGTGTACGGGGACTTTTATAACTGTTAGCTCTTTCTTTATTAGCCGTTTCCATCTCAGGTGAACATAAGCTTTCTATCAAAACAGAAGTTTAAAAGTGTTCTTAAACAACTCTCTCCTATGACTCATGCTTTCTGCTACTGAAATATGCTTTTAATTTTTTGGAAAAAGGTCTGTAGTTTTAATACAGGGGATCAGAAAATACAGAGAGGAACAAAGAAAAGACATTCATGAATACTAGAATGTTTTAACTGGGTAACAAATAAAACTTATTTTGTTACGTGGTAGCATATGCACAACTTGACAGGATTGATATAATTTATAATATCAGTAGTGTTTCCATCCAGAAAAGTTGTAGAGTTTATACAGAAAGTTTAAAATGTGTTGAACTTGCCAAAACTCTATCAGGCAATTAGGAAATCATAAGTGATGCTGAAATTTTATAATTTTATTCCTGAACCACTTGGGAAGCTTAAAAGTTCTACAAGCTGGTTACATACAGTGACCATTTTAGTGTCTTGCTAATTAAATGTACATCCTTTGGAAAAAAAAAGTTAAACCCTCCCACACCTTTTCAGATAACAAGCAAATCCAAGCTATTTCCAACACTTTAACTTTAGAAAACCTGCACACAGTAAATTGGTTTGAACTGTGCATGAAACTCAGGACATCTGAACTTAACTCTGACAAACACAACCAATCCCCCTTTATAATAATATGAGCTGAGAACAACTAAAAATAGCCAGTGCTTAAAAAAAAAAATGCTATCCTTTTTTCTTCCTTGTCTTCATTTAAAAAGCAGTTGTTTTTCAATAGGTCCTCCAACTCCAGTCTGTTCCTCTCTCTTTCTTATATAGAGTACAAGGGTGGTACAAGTTGTCAAGATGGCAAAAACCCCCAAACACTTTAAAAATAAAGTCATTTTTGTTTCTTTGACCCTCTGTTTTTTTCCATCGCTATAATCATCATCATCATAAATGAATAAAAACAATTATTGCCATACAACAGACCTACAGAATTATCCCTTCTCAAGATGATAGAATACCATTTTAACAATGTAGGAATAGAAATACAGGTTCTTTGGCCTATTTCTAGCTTCAACTGATGTTACGAAACATGGTTAAATATGGGCTATCATTTTTCCATAGAAAGAGAAAACAATCCAACCTGGACTGAAATAATCTCCGATTATGTATTTAGAACTCCCATTTTGCTTACCTTAAAGAACAGAGCTCTAAAATAATTTTAGTTTGTTAAGAACCTAAAGGAATCTGAATTTCTGAAGGCTCCACCAGCTAACATTGAATCAGTTGCAAAATTCTGCAATTACTTTAGAAATTCCCTTTTCTCCACCCGTACATGTAAGACTATATATGTATTTAGCCTATAGAGATGTATGCCTTCACTTACCTTTGTTAAACAACGGTCCTATTTTCACCGGGGATAAAGAGGACTTGCTTGGAGATGGAAAGTAATCACATATTCCTTTAGCAAATTTCTCTGCATCTTCTCTATTTGAAAAAGCTTTAAATCGGGAGCCTTTAATCATTTTAACAGCTTGCAGAGCTTCTTTTTTATCTTCATAAATGTGCACTCTCTCTGGAACAGGAAGTGGAACCAAAATTAAGTCCCCATAATCGGAAACTTCCATGTCTAATTTGCTCACAGGAAAGGATTAGAGTTCTCATATTAGCTTTTTTTTTTGATGGTTCTCAGATTGTGTTTGCCTACCAAAATACATACTTGAAGGAACCTGTAGAGGATACAGTCACTGTAGCTATAAACAGCCTTTTTAAATTTTACCTCTGATAAACCAGGTAGGCTGTCTTTTGCCAACTCCAACCAGCAGCAGTTGAGATGCAGTACAGTATCTGAACTTCACACAATCTAGTACTTAACAAAAATGCTAAACAGTTCATGAATGTTACAGAAAGATCTACTATGAAAGGAAGCCACAATCATAACTTGAAGACTTCCCAAAACAACCTTAGACAACACCCAAAGTCTTTATCATAATCAAGCTACTGCGTTCAATGCTAGATTTCTCAAGAAAGCCCTATTCTTTCAGAGCAAAAATAAATACTGTTGTTGCAGAGACACGCCAGAGAGTATTCAAAATTGTAATCTTGTAACTATTATCTTACTGCATCTTTAATCAAAAGAATAATAAAGTATTAACTGATCCAGGTCTTTAGATATCCACAGGATAAGAGGAAATGCAAAGAACTCAGTAATAAAGATTAACAATGTCCTCCATTCAAACTCACACAAATAAGTTCTGACTAATGGCTTTTTCCTAGGGTAGAATAAAAGTCAAGAGAGACAATAATGGGAAAGCATAGTTCCTTTACCTGAGCTACAGTAGGTAGAGAGCTTCACGCCCATTATCTATTACGGTAATACAAACGGCATGATTTATAACCTGGATTTGGCATACAAGTGGAGTTTTCCCTTTCACTTCCAGAAAAGGGCTAACATTATCAAGGCCTGAGGTGCAAAATTTCTAAAGTAATGAAGAATTACTGTTCATATTTGGAATTCATAGAAAAAAAATATTATTTGGAGATTTGGAAGTATTTAGCAATGAAAATAAATGATGTCCAATTTAAGAAGACACATGAAGAAACCAGAAGAGAACTTGGGAGGATTCCTGTTCCCACATCCAAGGAGACTATACAGGTTTCCTTCGCTTTACGTTGTAAATGCGTTCCTAGAAAGTGGCGCATAATTCAAATTTGCATAAAGGGAACCCACTTTACAACGTAACAAACAAGGATACATTCCAAGACCTCGATTGTACTGATCCCTCAGACCCATTTCTACAAGACAATTTTGGTACTCACCACCAGCAGACAGTACACACAAGCACAGGACACTATCATAACAGGGACAGCAACTACAGAAATGTGTCGCAGACAATGAGCAAGGAGCACAGATCCACACAGGAGACTATATTATGGTGTGCATCAGTCCCACAATGCACCAGACAAAGCAGCTGACTGCAGGCTTCCACCACACTGATCGTATAAGAGCGAATTTACTTTGCATATAAATGAATTTTTGGTATAAAAAGGGTCATCGCATAAGAGTGAATTCGTGCATACAGAACTCTTACAAAGCGAGGGAAACCTGTATAAGATGGGTTAGGATTACATTAATCACTGTTGTAAAGCATCACAGTTACAATGCATTATGATTTACCTTTGCTACTTGGATCTGAAGATATAAGACAAGACTTGGAAAGTCTCAGATTGGACAGTAAGTCTTTCTAAGAACAGACCATTTTATACCTATTACATTAAACCAATGCCTTTGCTAGTGTTGAAATAACATGATCTATTCCTTATTGTGGACTTTGGCTGAGAGAGGAAGTAAGAAAGGGGATGAAGACGTTCAACAGTCCTATAGCAACTCTGGTCAGTCAGTTCAGAGAAAATTTACTCTAATCTCCAATGAACTGGATGCTCTAGATCAATAGTGTTGAAACTTTTCAGTCTGTGGACCACTTGTTAAGGTATTTTCTTACAGGCCTATTTCCCCATTAACTAATCAGTTATCACTGAACCGTCTTTTAAAAAACCATCAGGAAGGGCTCCCTGGATGACCAGTTTGGAAGCAAAGCTCTGCATATTCAAGTACTGAGAAACTTGTCAAAAAGCTGATAAAAACCAAACCAACCAACTAAAGAAAGTGAAATTTATGTTCAAAAGATCCCACTTGCTGTTGTCCAAATACAAACACAGCCAAAGATAAGTTATACTATTCTAGGACTGACAGAGTTCATTTTTAATTTATTATTTTAAGGTATTTGCTCATACTCTTAATTCTCTTTTGAAAAATGTTTTCCTAATGTTGAAACTTTGGTACATCTTATCACTAACGTTCACAAATACTTGCATCCAAGTTGCCCCATCTTACAAAAACAAAAAGAAAGTGCTAGCTAGAAAACCCTATCTAGTAGCCCTATCTACCTAATAAAATGGCAGCAGCACCCTCAAACTTGATGAGCTTTGGGTGGGCAGCATCCTTAACTCAAAGCAGTGTAATTGCATCAGTGTAGCACTGCAGATAGACTAACTGGAACAACACTTGCAAAGCTGTTTACCCAAACCAAAGTAGCATGCAGACATGTGGAACAGTGCAGCATGTTCAAGAACACCAGTGGCTCTCAGTAAATGTAATGTATCACAGGTATACACTAACCTCTGACCTCAAAACATAGTTAAACATACATAAACGTAAAGGCAAATTACCATTTCTTGCCAATATGTCGTCGTAAACCGGGCATACGCCGTAGTACAGAGGAGGATCTTTAGATGGTGTTTGAGCACTTATTTGAGAGTCACTGCGTGCTACTCCACAGCTAGATGTTGAACAGGTCTCATGCATAACAGCTTCCTCTTCTGGAGGGTTCAGACCCACACTGTACCCAAAGTCACCCTCTTCAGAAAAATTAGCATGACTGTTGTGGTTCTCTGATGTAGATTTCAAACCCCTTTGTGTTTCTGATTGGCTGCTATTTGATGCAGGGTTTCCAGAGGCTTCATCTAAAAGAGCAGATGCATTAACCTCCAGCCCTCCTTGCTGTTCCAACAAAGACTGAGCCAATTTTTTTTCAAAAATAAACCTTGTGGTTGAGGTAATGGGCCCACACTTCAGTCCAGCTTTCACAATTTCTTCTCTGAGCTCATCGCAGGTTAGCTGCTTCAGTCGGGACAATATAGCTTCCATTGTTATTTCACCTGTGGGGAAAAATGCAAAGTGAGGTCAACTGTAGCGGCGTACACCCCTCTTTCTGATATCTGAACCGCCTTACTAAACCCAAGGGGAAAGGAGACAAGTTTTTTTTGTATAAGTGCTATCTGGGGGGAAAGTAGCAGGTAAGATCTGTTCTAGTTATCCCATCAAAAAATGTTTATTTTAGAAGCTAGTAGTTATATAGCCCCATACCAATGGTTCTCCAATTTTTTTTTCCGCAAACCACTTGAAAATTGCTGAGGGTCTTGGCAGACCACTTAATAAACTTTTTTTTGTTCTACAAACTCATATATTAATATCAGTAGTCTTACCTTTCTAATGCAATGGATGTGCCTGCTTTTTTGAGCAAAGTTCTGGGAAGTTGGGTGTAATGCTTGTCAGGTTTAGGCTTAGGTCACCTTTTTGCGGACCACCTGAATGGAGCTCACGGACCATAGCTTGACAACCTCTACCCTATACTTTTTGTTTGTTTTTTAAGTTTGAAACCTTTGGAGTGAAAGTCAATTAGAAACCACATGTCAAATCTTAGGGGTTTCTCTGATCTCATATTTGTTTCCTGTCTCTCATGGCAGGAACTGCTGACAGTGCTCTAATGGGAGAGAAGAATTGTATTCAAACACTGAGGCAGGCTGCCTGGCATGAAGGAGACTCTAATATGAGACTGTCTATGAATAAAAGCATCGAGTCTTTTGACTATTCCATAGACTTTGAGCAGGTCTTAAGGACACACGCAAGGGGAAGTTGTACCTAACAATCACAAGGCCCCTCCCTAGCTGTGATTTACTAGCAACAGCAACAGAATAGTTTCTCCCCCCCCCCCAATCACTCCCAGACACTAGGGAGCAGGAAGTGTTTGCTGGTGCATAGAGGAGATCCCTCCCCAACAAAGGTCCAATAAGGGAGGTACTAACACAAACGGTTCTTCCCCTCACCCTGATTACATGGCAAAGCGCTAAAATGACTGGCCTATGGCCTGATTTTCTTCTTCAAAATCAAAGCTGGGGGCACTGGAAGAGGGATTTTCTTACTACCAACATCAGCTCTTCTGTATAGCGTTATCTTCCACATGTCTCTGCATCCAGCCAGGAAACAGAGATTACAAAAATCAAATCCACACAAAACACCACGTTTCTTGCCATGAAAATCCTATACGGGATCTTACACTGAAGAAAACAATTAAAGCTAAAATGCGTGATTAGGAATTACACCCTGGGGTGCTTTGAGATCTTTTCCGAGGGGGCCACAGGGCACCACAAAATGGTGCCACAAAATGGCACCATTAGGTTAACAAACATAATTCACATGATAAAACCAAAGATTTCTAATAGAAATACACAGGTGTGGTCTGTCTGAGTTCTTTGCAAGCGAAAGACTACTCTCTTATTTTTTTCTGTAGTCAAAAAGAGTGAAAACTAAGAAATGACATTTTCCAAGGAGTTCTTCAAACATATCCACCAGGGGTGCCTCAAGTCTGAAAAGGTTGAGAACCACTAGTCTGGGTTTATGACTTTTTTGAGTATTAACAACTGTAACAGTCAGCACGAATTAAACCCACCATTTTGCCAAAGGACAAGGCTGTCTCGGAAAACAGGCTTGTTTTGGGGCCACCAATACTGAATATCTGTATCCAGATAATGTAATAAGATTGGAGTCTCCTACGTGTTAAAGTCCTTCAGTCAACTGAAGGACTTCAGTCAGTCAACACCGCGACACCATGGACGCAGGTGTCGCGGTGGATGTAGTCTTTCTGGACTTCAGCAAGGCCTTTGACACCGTCTCTCACCCCATCCTAATTAATAAACTAGGCGACTGTGGCATAGATGCCTACACAGTCAGATGGATTGCAGATTGGCTGAAGGGTCGCACTCAGAGGGTGGTGGTGGATGGATCATACTCGACTTGGGGGGAGGTGGGTAGTGGAGTCCCCCAGGGCTCGGTCCTGGGGCCTGTGCTGTTCAATTTCTTCATCAGCGATCTTGATGCTGGGGTGGAAAGCAACCTGTTTAAATTCGCTGATGACACCAAAATTTGGGGGGAGGTGAGCACGCTAGCAGGGAGAGAGAGATTGCAGAAGGATCTGGATAGGTTACAGGGGTGGGCAGACAGGAACAGGATGTGTTTCAATACGGACAAGTGCAGGGTGCTGCACTTGGGTAGTAGGAACCAGCAGCACACTTATACGATGGGGAACTCCCTACTTGAGAGCACGGAGGCGGAAAGGGATCTTGGTGTCATTATTGACTCCAAGATGAACATGGGCCGACAATGCGAGGTCATGGTTGGCAGGGCTAACCGGACCTTGTCGTGCATCCACAGGTGCATCTCGAGTAGAGCCAGGGAGGTGATCCTCCCCCTCTATGCGACGCTGGTCAGGCCACAGCTGGAGTATTGTGTCCAGTTCTGTGCGCCCCATTTCAGGAGGGATGTGGACAACATGGAGAGGGTCCAGAGGAGGGCCACCCGCATGATCCGGGGACAACAGGGCAGACCCTACAGTGAGAGACTGCAGGACCTGAACCTATTCAGCCTCCACAAGAGAAGGCTGAGGGGGGACCTGGTGACCGTCTATAAACTCACTAGGGGGAACCAGAAGGGTTTGGGGGAGACGCTGTTTCCCCTAGCCCCCGCTGGCATAACAAGGAGTAATGGGCACAAGTTGAGGGAGAGGAGGTACAGATTGGACATCCGAAAAAACTACTTCACAGTTAGGGCGGCTAGGAGCTGGAACCAACTTCCAAGGGAGGTGGTGCTGGCCCCTACCCTGGGGGTCTTTAAGAAGAGGCTGGATGCCTACCTGGCTGGACTCATTTGAGTCCCGTTTTTGTTTTTAGGGTTTTTTGTTGTTCTCCCGCCCTGGCGGGGAGTCGGGCTAGAAGATCTATTAGGTCCCTTCCGACCCTAAAACTATGAAACTATGAAACTATTTTGCTTGCATGTACAAGGCTAGAAGCCTTTTTACTTAAATTCCATACTCTTAGGTTAAGAACTACAAAACTAACAAATCAAGGAGCTTCTCATTTTTCCCATTATTACCAGGCATTTAATAAAGTGCAGTTATGTTTATTTTAAATTCACCCACCCAAAGATTCCAACTTCAGAAATTCAAAGGCGATATATTTTTAGGATACATGCAGCAGTTTATTCCTGTAAATACAGGAATTTGTATTTGGAAGTCAGCCAAAATGTTTAGCTAAAGACTTTCTAACTGTTATAAAAACTCTGCACTAACCTCCTGAATTAAAAAAAACACTGCATTTTCTTAAGCAGTATAAAAACGTATAAAAAAAACATTTCTTAAAAAAATGTCTGCTTAAGTTTGTGCATTAATATAGCATCTATCAACAACCTCAGAATAATTTACAAATGTTAACAGATTTAAGTTAACTCAGGATCTCTGAGATGAGGGTATTTTATTTCAATTTCAAAAACAGGAACTTGGGGGGGTGGGGGGGGAGGTTGTTGGTTGGTAATCAGGACCTCCTTTTAGGGCCCTAAGCCTCTTTACGTTCCCTGGACTTCGGTTGGATTCTCAACATCACATGTTAAATGACTCAGCCACAGTCACACAGGAAGTCTCCAGCACAGCTGATAATAAAACCCAGATCTCCAGGTTCGGAGGAATAATTCAGGGATCTAAACTTTAGCATCCTGGGAGATCCCTCCCTGTCTAACGCTCCTATCCCAACAATTCTTCCTCTCCAAAATTCTCTCACAGGCTGAATAAAAAAAACAAACAGTTGCAATAATTCGTTATGATGCAAATTGGAGACACGTTAAAACCTGCTAAAGAATTCACATCCATTGAGTTAAGCTCTCTCAACTATGCAAGTTAAAAACAATCAGCGGGACATCAAATTTAGAGCTGATCAAATCTAAAAGCAAGCAAAGTTTATTATGGAAATTTTACAGTTTAAGGGATAATTAAGACAATAATACTGCCGAGGGAAATGCATTAGTATTAATGCATCAAAAATGAGCTCAGTTCATTAGAGCACTCAATTTTTAAACTTCAGAACCAGTAAAACACTTCTGAAGTCATCATAAGGCCACCAGCTCCCATGAAAGCAAAAATTAATCAATGCATAGAGAAGAAAAAAAAAAGGCCCGTGTTCTCTCTAGGCTGGTAGTTAAGCAAGACAAAATGTACATCTAATAAAAGCACAGGACAGTTGAAGAATCATTGCCCAGGCAGAACTTAAAATCCTTTTATACAGAAGACATTTTCTCTTCCTAAAATATGCAACAAGAAGAGAATGCATTCAGGTGTATATTACAGCCACTGTGTCACTGATGACTGGTGCAGTAACTGTAAATGAACAAACATGGTAAATCAGTATTACTTTCCAGGTCAACTCCTAGCATGAAAAATTCTTGACATATGGCTTGCTATGGGTAAAGAAACACTTTAATCATTCTATATAAAAGATTTCTCAGTTTCAAAGCTTTCATATTTATAGCTTTCCCCAAGTCATTGCCATTGCCATTGTGTTAACAGAAATATCTGCTTTTTCAAACAACTGTTCTTAGCAAATCTCAGCACTGTGCGCTAAACGCTGTAGCTGACAATTTGAGTACATTTTATTGTAAGAGGTCATTTTCAAGTGATGACATATTGTTCCAATAGGATTTTTAAAACATGATGTGTCATATCATCAAGCTTTCAATGGTATATTCTGGGGTTGCTATACTCAGTTATTTGCTATCAATTCAGTGATGACATTGATACACACAGTGAGGAACAAAATATAATTCCCTCAAATACAGAATGCATGAGTTAAACCATAGGCAGACAAGGTTCCTTGGGTTAAATCATGAAACTTGCAAGCTCGGGAGGGAGCAGAGACCTTTAACAACCTGATGCATTGGAGGGGAATACCCGCCCTCACCTCATTTGGTTTTTAAGTAGGCTGACCGTATGTCGGGGTTTGCAGTCCCAAATTTTGAAGGCTAGTCTAGCCAATTGGTGAAAATTAAGACAAGCACCCCAGAATGACAGGGCACAGCAGGAAAGCAGAGTGGCAGGGGGCTCCAGCTCCCGGCTAGACTGCAGCCTTGCCCCAGCCCGCCTGTCTGCCTGCAAGCAGCACTGCTCACCAGGGGCAGGAGGGGAGAGGGAGGGGGCAGTATCCCAGGTTCCCTTATGGTTCCCTTATTATTAAGCATCACCTTATAAAAACTGTTACGAGTTTAAAACATGAAGCCACGCTGCATGCAAGTATCGCATTTGTAACTGACAATGCAAAAGTCTGACCTGCAAAATGTGATTCAACCCTTCGGTATGAACAACCGCACATATTTTATTTTCTTTGCAGCTGCTTATGGCCAAAAACGAGGAGAAGACACAAGAGGCATGTTTCCCCCCGGTTGCATCAGTCCGAAACCCGCAGGAGCAAATAATCCACGCGAGCAAAGATCAATCACACGGAGGTAATGGCAGCCTAAACCAGCCCTCAGCTCCTGAGCATCCCTGCCTCTGTTTATCGCCCTTCCCATCTCATTTCGCAGCCTGAGCACGGCTCCACAGAAGCGCCCCCCACCCCCGGGAGTGCTGAACACGAAGCTGGGCAGGTTTCTCTGCGCGCCCCAGTGAAGCAGGGGCGGGGGGCAGCCCTGAGAGACAGCCCTGCCTGCCCCACAGCAGCGCCCAGGCCGGGGAGCGCGAGACGCGACAGGGGCAGCCCCAGGCAGGACCGCGGGA